TCTGGGTCACGGGTGTATCATGGGATGAAGAATTATCATCAGATATCATTCAAGAATGGAAACAGTTGCGGAATGAATTTAAAAATATCAGTAATATCAGCATACCACGTTATTTAGGTGATATTTTAAATTATTATCATTTACACGGCTTTAGCGATGCGTCAGCTAAAGCATACGCTTGCGCCATTTACTGCGTTACGGCTAACGATAAGGGCGAGCGCACATCCCGATTGATAGCTGCTAAAAATAAGTTAGCGCCGCTAAATAAAACATTGTCGCTACCACGACTTGAGCTCTGTGGCGCGCTGTTGTTATCACAGTTGATGAGCAAAGTTAAAGCTGCATTACTGGGCGAAAATGTTCACGTCCACGCGTGGACTGATTCGATGATCGTTTTAGGGTGGATCCATGGCGATCAGTCCCGGTGGAAGCAATTTGTCGCTAACAGGGTACAGCAGATCAAGGAAATCATACCTCCCACAAACTGGAATTACGTACAATCAGCAGAAAACCCAGCGGATTGTGCTACTAGAGGAGTCACTGTCACGCATTTATCAGACAGTAGTTTGTGGTGGGAAGGGCCAGAATGGCTTTTATCATCTTTATCAGAAAACACTACAATTCAAACATACCAAGAGCCCAACATAGAAATCAAGAAAATCGCCCACAGTGTAAATGCAGCCTTATATCATAATAATAAAAATCAGTCGGAATCAGAAATTATAATTGAATTATTAACTAAATACAGTTCAATCACCTTCATTGTTAGAATATTAGCGCGAGTGCTGCGTTTCATTGTTGGAATACGACACCGGTGCAAAGTTTCATCAACAAATACCTTATTACTAACGGAAATAAATAACTCTTATAATATAATTATCAAAACTGTACAATCTATAGAATTTATTAAAGATTTATCATATATCAGAGAAAAGGGACATGTTCATAAAAATAGTAGATTAGCGAGCCTGAGTCCTTTTATAGATGAAGATGGAATATTGAGAGTCGGCGGCCGCCTAAGTCATTCAGATATCAGCTGGTCAGCAAGGCACCCTATCATATTGGATAGCCGCAGTAGACTCACTCAGCTTATAATAGAACAAGCGCATATCACAACATTACACGGTGGCGCTCGGCTTGTACTTACTTACGTCCGGAATAAATATTGGATAATATGCGGAATGTCGACAGTTAAACGAGAAATAAGGAGGTGTGTCAAATGCCGTCGGTTCAGCCACAATAAATATCAACCTATCATGGCAGACTTACCGCAGCCAAGAGTGGTTCCATCACGACCCTTTACTCACTGCGGGGTCGATTTCACTGGGCACGTTGATCTCAAAATCAATAAAGGTCGAGGTGTTCGCACAACAAAGGGGTATATATCAATCTTCATCTGTCTATCAACTAAGGCTGTCCACCTCGAGCTGGTTTCCGACCTGAGTACAGCATCCTTCCTCGCTGCATTCCGTCGATTCTGCGCACGACGTGGAGTCCCGGGTCACGTCTACAGCGATAACGGGACAAATTTCGTAGGCGCTAACAAACTTTTGAAAAGGGAATATCAAGAAATAGTATCAAATATCAACACTGAATTCTTTAACAATATATCACAAATGAATATAGAGTGGCACTTTAACGCACCATCCTATCCCCATGCAGGTGGCTTATGGGAAGCCGCTGTTAAGAGTATGAAGTTTCATATTAAACGAGTCGTAGGTGAACAAAAGTTGACTTACGAGGAGTACATCACCGTGTTACATCAAGTTGAAGCCTGCTTAAACTCGAGGCCGCTCTGCGTTCCAACTGAAAACCCTGAAGATCCTATATTGACCCCGGGACACTTTTTAATTGGTGGACCACTACTTACAAAACCTCAAACAGAGCCCGAATCAATGTGTTTAACGAAGAGATGGCAGCTCGTTCAGGCTATCAACAAACAGATTTGGAAATGCTGGTCCACCGACTATCTACATCAACTACAATTAAGGAGTAAATGGAAAACGGCGACTAAGAATATTGCAATAGATGATATAGTTTTAGTAAAGGAAGAAAACATGCCGCCTGGAAAGTGGGCAATGGGCAGAGTACAGGAGTTACATCCTGGAAAAGATGGGCAAGTCCGGGTTGTAACACTGAAAACAAAGCATAATATCATGAAAAGGCCTGTCATCAAATTAGTACCTTTAGTATCACAAGAAAAAAAGGAGGAACCAGTATCATCGTCCCCTACGGAAAGCGACCACCCTGGTCCTAAGCCTCGCCGGGCCAGGACCACTAGACGTGGTAATATCAAAAACTTTATGTTAAGTTTATTTATGTTTTTATCATTTTTCATATCACCTAGTCTACAACAAGAGCAAAAGGATTTTAAAATAACGCCTATAAATAATCAACAATCAATTTATTTTGATAAGATATCAAATGTTCAGCACGTAAGAGATGAATGGAACCTTATCATTTACTATAATATGAGTACCTATTGGGGAGGTCTAAATAGTATCGAAAAGTACGTCACTCATATTAAGGAAAGTTGTTCGTCCAACGATTATCAAGGTGTCATTTTACAACTGGAACATGAGATCGATGAAATAGAGCACTACAATCAGCTGTTAAAAAACCCAGTTCGTAGAAGACAAAAAAGAGGATTAATCAATGGTGTTGGTTACATTGCTAATTCTTTATTCGGTATCTTAGATGAAAGGTTTGCCGATCAATATCAGAAGGACATCGATCGTATACAGCAAAACGAGAATCATTTGCAAACCCTACTACGTAATCAGACTATTGTAATGGAGGCCGAATATAACATTTTAAAGCGTCACGAAAATATTATGAAAACACAATTTTCTTTAATCGAGAGTCATATCAATAATGTTACTGTGGAAGTAAACCAAGTTCGCCAAGCTACGTTTCACGCAACATATTTCACATTTTCATCTTTGGCGGCTCATATTATCATATCAAACATTAGACATATTCAGGAAACCCTCATAAGCACAATCACCGATATAAACGAAGGTCATATCAATCCTAATCTTCTATCACCAGAACAGCTGCAGACACAAATAAATATTATATCAGGCCGCTTACAAAGGGATCTCGTATTACCGTTAGACGACTCAAATATTATTCATTTTTATAAGTTATTGAAAGTTGCAGCGAGAGTTACGGATAAATTCCTTATCATTGAGATAAAAATACCTATCTTGAATAACGAAGTTTTTGAATTGGATAAAATCATCAGCATCCCTCAGAAACGAGAAGATCGATACTATAACTTAATTCCGAAATACCCTTACATTGGATTTAATATCAACAAAGACTCGTTTATATTTATGTCCGACTTAGATCTTCAAAATTGTCAACAGTTTTCTATGGAAAGGATTATTATGTTTTCTAAAAAGTCCCATATATACAACAAAAATAGAACAATCAATTTGTGATATTAATTTAATTGATGGCGGCACCGATTTATCACCTTGTAAGACGCAGGTATCAACTTGCAAAGAGAGCTGGATTAAGTTACACGCCGATAACGAATGGTTATTTACATGTTGCGAACAATGCAGCGTCCGCATAATTTGTCCAGCTGGTATTACGTCACAGGCTATGACAGGCAGCGGAGTCATTCACCTCGGTCCCATGTGCACTTTAAAGGGCAGTGATTTTGTACTACACTCGCATAATTATTACTTTAATAAAATCAATATCAATCAAAATTTGGACTTACCGCATTTCTCAGTCCTAAATAATATTATGAACACTTCCTTTATCAATTTAACAAAGCTGGAAAATCATGACAACGAATGGAATCTATTGAAAGCACAGATTTCTGACGTAAAGGAGCAATCAAATAATAATGTGAGAATACATGACATTCATCATTATAGTCTGGGATATATCATCGTCGGTCTATTCATCCTGGCTGCATGCATCATTCTGTTCCGCCGCTACAGGCGCCACAGTGCAGGCGCGGAGGCATCTAGCGATCGTGCCGCTACTACTTCCAGCGTTCCAGATCAAAGTGTTAGTGAAGTGTGTGTGAATGTGTCGGGAAAAAACGAAATAAGTGAAACGGCAGTTCATATGCCGGGATATTCAAAGTGTGCCGAGTGAACTGAGGCAATCAATGTTGAGTGTAGATAAAGCTACCTCTATATCCCCTATGACTAAACGTTCGGTCAGATTTGAGGGACTAAATAACTAAAATGTAGTTTTTTATTTATATACGCCTTTTTTAATTTAGATAAATATCATTGATTTTATTACTATAATTATCATTGTTACAATTTTATTTCTATATTTTTGTATTATATCGCTGAATTAATTTTACAATTTAATATCAAATTCCTGGAGAAGACTTCATTGTTTAGTATTTGCATCTTATCATTGTTCGTACTGCCCTTCATTCTGGAGGCGCAGGATGTACGAGTTGTTGTCCATCGTACATGGTTTTCTCCGTGTAAGCATAATAATTAAGGTCGCGTCACCGCCGCGATTCGTAAACGCGTGCAATTTGTAAAATAATGCATTTCTATCATGAAATAAATCAGTCTATTTTTAGCACTCTATCAGAACGGTTTTATTTATCAAACATCGTCGTTCAACCCTATTATTATCAATTATCAGTTATCATTTTCTATTAAATGTAAAGGTACTTAGCATTGAACCTTACATCTTTCTTTCATTGATGTAAGTTTGGCAACGTCGTGCGTGCAGTAGTTTAAACTGTGTAAAAGTAAATAACTTTTTTATTTAAAAAATCACGGGATTTTTTTCTGCTCTTTAAAATTAATCTCAGGATTTGACGCATATCCACATTATTCTTTCGCTGTATGAAATCAGTGTAAGTACATGAATAACTCTACCTAATTCCGACCACAGGTTATTACTATGTTAGAAAAACAAAGTAAAGGCTGGAAGCTTCCTACATGTAAGTTACACATGTGTGAAGAGTCATATGCAAAACTAAATGCTTTTAAATAATAAGGAATGTTTCAATGCACCTTATCTCTGTTTTGTTGGAGGCTGCTATTGCCATCAGTGTAACCAGAGTCATCGGACACTTTCATTCCATTTTTGTCGGTGGACACCTCATGAGCACGAGATCTGGACGGTACTTCAAGCTGCAAACATAAATAGAAATATTCAACATAACATTTTCCATATGCTCAAAACCTGAACTAAGAAATAAATATAAATCTTTGCATAGCAGACTAGCTTATCGTTAGATCGCGTAAATTATAGCCTATGTCAACCGCGCATGATGTAGCTTCCCGTATGTGAAACAATTTTCAAACGTAACATATCTCCTGCGAAGTTGATTTTAGCGAAAATATCTTAGATGCACTCCGTCGCCGCATTCCTAGATTGTGCATTCTTCATGAAAAAAATAATAAGCTGTTTCATACAAAATTGTAATACCTACAACCGCCAATATTATGAAACATATGTATGTTGTTCCCACAGTAAAAGTTTGTCAGTGTAAATAACTCATCCATTTCACGAAGTCTTAACACATAATAATGTTGCACATCTGTGTAATAATCTTTGTCGTCCACTCTGTGGCAACATAATCTGTGACGTTTGTAATATAAAACAGTCTGAAAGTAAACTCATACCTGTGAATACGTTTATTTTACCGACCCTTCGTATAAATAGAGTCAGATTATCAACTTACCAATAAATATCAACCTATATACTAATAAAAAAATACCCAAAATACGGTAACCCATACAATATACGGTAAAATAATATTACAACTTATATAGTATGCATTGAGATTAAACTGTACCCGTGAAGGCGAGCTCGGTGTGAAGTAAGGTGAGCTGACAACTTCCAACTGAAGATTTGTCTCCTCGGTTTCGTTAAACTTAAAAATGAATTAACGGTAAAAAAAAAATATGTTAAAAAAAATCTCGTAAATATATCCACAAATTACCGTCTTTTCACACTTCTTTCATTACTCTTTTCAACATACTCACGGCTCCTAATAGCACGCGATTGATTTGATGGTGAAAGGTGTGTCGTGGCCTTTGTTGGCTTCCGCAACCTTCCACTTTCGCGTTGCATATCAGTTTTGTCATTCTTTCATCTGGCACTTTTTTATTTCTGTCGTGTCGGGAGACGTAAGTAAAACGACAAGGTTGAGAACTGACTGGTTTATTATAGAATGGAGCATGATTTACATCTTACCTACAAACTGTTAATCTAAATATCAAAATACCTTACATATATTCCCTCTTAAATAAAATAAAGGGCTACATTCCCGCTATACAAAATAAGAATGTAGATTAGTACTTCTATTTGTGGATCTTTGATTTCTTTTAATATTAAGTGCTACTTATTAAATATTTGCCCACCACCTTTCCTTTGATAACAAATTATGCTCTTAAACCTAAAATTATATATATTTTATAACAATATAACAACTATTTAAACAATAGTTTTAATTTAATTTTTTTATATATATTTTTTTAAATCGCGGTTATAATATCTCCAAGTGCGTTCGGAAGCTGTCGGTGAGGGTGGTGTGCGCGCCAGCGGTGGCGCGCGCGCAGGCTGCGGTGTGCCCGCCCTGTCGTTCGTGCTCTTTGTCACCGCGTACCCCCTAGCCCCTCCGTCGGCATCTCCGACAGCTTCCGTCGCTTCCACATCCCTATCGGCGCTGCTCGCGACCTCTAAGACTGGATTAGTGCGCGATAACGAGTACCGCGATTTATTTGAAATAATTTGGTTAGCATGGCGGCGATGGGTTCTGTCTTGGCCTATGCCTACCTTATATGAAACTGGACCTGTTTTTTCGATTATGCGACCCTCTGACCACTTACTCTTACCCGCCTTATTCGTATAGTCCCGGGCTAGTACGGATTCTCCCACCTCAAATTCTCTATGCCGCCCACCGTTGTACGCGATTTGCTTTGCCTGCGCTTCGCGCTGCAGCCAGGTCCGGCCGCAGCGCATCTAGTCGCCCGCGCAACCGTCGGTTCATTAACGCAACGGCTGGGGAGACTCCCGTTGTTGCATGCTCACAGTTTCTGTATTGGAACAAAAATTTACAAAGAGCGACCGAGATGTCGTCTCCTTCGAACATAGCTTTTTTAATGGCCTTTTTGATTGTTTTCACTGCATTTTCTGCTTCACCGTTTCCTTGAGGTCGGTACGGTGCCGATGTCGTATGTATGATGGAGTTTTTTATACAATATTGTTTAAATTCATCTGAAAAGAATGGTGGGCCATTATCAGTGACCAGTTGCGAAGGCAGTCCGAATCTAGCAAAAATCGTTCTAAACGCTTTGATTGTTGAATGGGCGGTAGTGCTTTTCATTTCTAGAGCTTCTATCCATTTTTAATGTGCGTCTTCGATAATCAAAAAACGTCTACCCGCGCAGTCCGCGAAATCTGCATGTAAGCGTCGCCACGGGTGCTGTGGGAACTCCCGCGGGTGGAGTGAGGTGTGTGGCGGCGCGTCGCGTACGCAGCGGCAAGCGGCACATGCGCGACACGTCTCTTCTATATCCCTGTCTATACCGGGCCAATAGACATAGCTACGAGCTATGTTCTTCATTTTGTTCATACCTAAGTGGCCTTCATGAATCTCTTTCAATACGCGCTCTTTTAGTACTGGGGGCACCACAATTCTATATTTATAAATTAAACATCCCAAATCTACACATAAATTATCTTTTCTTTCAAAGTAAGGCTTGTCTTCTTCACAACTGCTCGCTGATGGCCAACCGAACAACACGAATCCACAAATTTTATTTAATCGGGCGTCTTTTTTGGTTTCTTTAGCTATTTCTTTATAACTAACAGGTAACATTTCATCGATAAAGTTCAAATACGATACTGTATCCGCAAGTTGTCGAGCGTGTTGCAAAGGTAACCTCGACAGAGCGTCGGCTGGCGCGTTATTCTCAGAACGAACGAATTCCACGGTAAAATCATAACCAGCCAGACGGGTAGCCCATCGTTGCAGCCTACTCGCTGCCGTTTGGGGAATGCCGTTATTTTTCCCAAAAATATAAGTGAGCGGTTTATGATCCGTTTTTTAAATAAATCGTCTACCGAATAAGTATTGATGATGTTTAGTGACACCGAAATATATGGCTAAGGCTTCCTTATCTAGCTGGCTATAACCTTTTTCGGCGTGGTTTAGCGTGCGAGAGGCCGCGCACACGAGCCGCTCCCGGCCGTCCGGATATCGGTGCGAGAGCGCCGCGCCCAGCCCATACGCACTGCTGTCCACGGACAACACGAGGGGAAGGCCCTCCTCGTAGTGTGCGAGCACGTTCTTGTTTAACAAAGCTGTCTTTGCCTTCACGAATGCTTGCTCGCATCGTAAATTCCAGTACCACTTCGCTTGTTTTCGTAACAATTCGTGTAAGGGATACAAAATTGTACTAAGGTTTGTAATGAATTTGCCATATAATTTAACATACCTAAAAAACTTTGTAATTGCGTTACATTTTGTGGCGTGGGGGCATCAGTTATCGCCTCAAGTTTTGTTGGGTCTGGATGCAAACCGGTTTTATCAATAATAAAACCTAAATATGTTACGCTGCTTTGCATAAACGTACATTTGTTTAGTTTTAGTGTCAAGCCCATATCCCTTAACCGTGTTAGCACTGCACGTAGATTACGCATGTGAGTACTTTCATCTTTCCCGGTTACACAAATATCGTCTAAGAATACTACCGTACCGGGTATACCGCGCAAGGTCTCCTCCATCAATTTCTGAAATTTTTCTGGAACACAAGATAAGCCATACGGAGTCCTACGATATACGAAAGTGCCTACATGTGTTGTGATGGCTGTGTACGATTGCGACTCTTCGTCTAACAAGACCTGTTCATAGGCATGTCTTAAATCAATTTTAGTATATTTTTCGCCTCCACTCAAAGTAGCGAACAGTTCTTCAATACGCGGTAAAGGGTAAAAATCACGTTTTAATTTCGGGTTAATGGTGATTTTATAATCACCACAAATTCGTATATCCCCGTTGCTTTTAATGACCGGTACTATTGGCGTGCCATAGTCGGAGTGTTCCACGCGGTATATGGACGTGTCGCGCGAGCTCTCGCTCGACGCGCTCACGCAGCGCCAGCGGCACGGGCCGCGCGCGCACATACACACATTCATCATCTACGAGTTGCAAGTGCAAAGCTTTTTTACAGGTTCCTAGCTTATCCATAAATACCTCTGGAAATTCATCGCGTAATCGGGTCACGATTCGATCTTCGAGTACTAATGAATTTAAATTTATTTGTGAAATTTTTAAGGCTCTTAGCCAATCACGGCCTAGGAGTGGTCGACCTCCGCCTTTAATCACGTATAAAGATAAATTATTTACTTGAATCTTATTCAATACCACCTCCACAAGTATATATCCGATAGTATCGATTCGTGCCCCGGCGTAACTATGTAAAATAATATTATCCACTTTTATACACTTATGGCTAAATCTCTGTTTATAAAATTCCTCACTTATAGCCGAAATTCGGCTACCTGTGTCTATTTCTAATTCGACTGATTGTCCTTCAATCACCAACTGAATATAATAAGGTTTGTTACCTATAACAGATGTTTGTATATTGTAAAATTCATCCTCAGAATCACTCATAAAATTTTGTCGAACACTATGATTATAGTTTTGAACCTGACCACACATCACTTTTAAATGGCCGCGTCGATTGCACTTATCACAATTATAATTACTATAACGGCACCGGTTGGGATTGTGCGACTTCCCGCACCGCCAGCAAGCGGCCGCGCGGTTATCGCGCCAGCCGCCGCTCCGCCCCGCTTCGACCTGGTAAAACCCGCTGCGGTTCACCTCACGCGAAATAGGGAAGAACCTGGTATACTGCAAGGAGGGCCCGGTTTCTTCCGTTCGCGCTGGGATTCCTCTCGCGGAGGGTGAAGAGGAGTCGCCCTCTGTGGGATGGAAAAGACTTGGGTGAATAACAGCCTTTTCCAGACAGTAGACCGTCCCCATGGGCTAGTCCCATTGGGGTAACGGGTGGGGTGTCAGCCCTGTCCGCTGGTCGACAGAGGGAGGGGATGCGTTAATACGCGATCTCTCCTCCCTTGCCGCCTTTTGTTTGGGAGCACTATGCAATTCCATCCCTACTAAAAGTATATCCAAGACAAAACAATTCACTTGTTCAACTACTACATCGTCAACCATAATCCTTACATAGATAGATAAATGCTTTATTGGACCACTTTTATCACTACTTAGTTGGTGTATAGAAACATTAAAAATTACAATAGACAACGATTTGTATCACCGTACTAGAATGTGAAGCAGCAGCCCAAGAGGTATACAGCTCAGTGATGGATGTTCCATATATGAAACAGCACTGATTTTCAGCTGTACCCTAGTCGCCGTTTGGTACTAGCGTAAAATCAAAGTGAATGTGGAGTGAGAGTACAGTGTAATTCCAAAGTATTATATAAATAATTTAATAAGTAGATACTCTTCCTTCAGTTTTTTCCTGAAAGATCCCTTACACAAAAGTCTAAAGTGGGGGTGGGATGTTGTTCCAACATTTGGTGGCTTGGTGTCGGAAACTACCAGTAAATTTTGTGTTTCTGTGTAGATAACAAGAAACGCCTCGACCTCACATTACAACCGTCACGTAGTTGCATATACTTAAGCTTCATAAATAGGTATTCAGACTCCTTATACTTAATTAGGTCAAACAACAAACTAGCGAGATGCAAATGCCTACGAAAGAACATTTTTAATATAGAATGTTTATTGAGGTACGGCGTAACGTGACTACGCGGAGGCACATTAAAACAGAAACGGCAGCAAGCATTTTTCTAGATAGCAATCGCGGTCCGTACACGAGGTCACCATAGTTTAGTCTCTATAACATCAGTGATTCACATAGAGTGATACGAACTTCTAAAGTTAATAAATGACGAATTCTGCACAACAATTTTAGACGATAAAAGCATCTTACTAAATTCGATACATGAGTTTCAAAACGCAAATTCTCATCCAAAACGACACCTAGGTCCCTAGGTTCATGAACACGTTCCATATGTTGATCACCTTATAGCATCAGCGATTGACTTTCGAAAGTTGATTTTTAAAACCTAGTTTTAAATATTTGGATTTTGATGGATTGAGTGATAGAGAATTCCTATCAACCCACTCTACTATTCTATCTAAGTCAGCGTTCAATTTCTCAACTGCCTCATGAAAGTTTATGGGATTCGATGATATGTACAACTGTACATCATCAGCGTATAAATGATAACGACAATTTTTCACCACTTCAATAATATCCGCGGTATAAAGTACAAATAGTAAAGGTCCCAAGATGGAACCTTGTGGAACACCTTTATTTACACCTCGAATATAGAGATACTAGAATTCCCATCCGATTTCATTAGTTTCACAGCTTGCGAGCGGCAGTTAAGATTACTATTAAACCAAAGAAGCGAAATGTGGTTTACGCCATAATAAGCAAGTTTAGCTAGAAGTAGTTGCACACTAATACTTTCAAATGCATGAGAAAAATCCAACAATGCTAAGCATGTACTATTTCCAGTGTCCTGCTCTACGAGAATTTTGTCATCCAAAAGTACCGACACTGTACCCATACCCTTCCTGAAACCGGATTGATAAGTCGGCAGCAAATTATTATTTACGACAAACTCGCTCAGCTGATAATGAACGGCCTTTTTCAACACCTTTGAAAGGAGAGGCAAAATACTGATCGGCCTAAGTGGTTTAGATCAGTGGGGGTTTCATTTTTGGCAAAGGTGTAACAAGAGCAGTACACCCACGAGGAACAATACCACTAAGGATTGATCTATTGATTAAACCTGAAATAATAGACAAAGTCCTAGGAAGCGTAAGAATGATCATATCCCTATTTATACCGTCAACTCCGGTTGAATTATTTTTAATGGCTATAATATATACTTAGCAATATCATTCTCACTAACAGGTCTTAGAGCCAGCGACTCCTCACTGAGTCTATGCTTTTCAAAATAAGCTATTTCAGATAAAGATACACTTTAAGATCTAGAAACATCCAAAAAATGTTCATTTATTTCGTTTACATTATCAAATAGTTCACAAATAGGAATGTGGTTGCTTTGGTTAATCAAAATTTTACCTTTTATATTCTTCTAAAATTTTTTAGGGTTATGTTGTGAATTATTTATATGGTAATTATAATATGCACACTTTTCATTAAATATAATTGTTTCTACAACTTTTTTAATTGTTTATAATACTTATTTTACTTTCCTTTCTGACTAAATCACATTCTTTACGATATGCTTCATATGACTTCTTGCGCAGGTTCATTAAAATTTTTATGGTGTCAGTTAGCCACGGAAGTGAGCTATTCAATATTTTATCGGTTAGTACAGGTGCATGTTTTTCAAAAAGCGACAAAATTAGTATGTTAAAAGTCTGAACCATGAGATCCAATATCATGCAGATCGCAGTCAAATGTGCTTAAATTTATTCTATTTAAAGGTCTGAGAGTAAATTTCTTAGTAAGTTCTTAGTAAGTTTTGTCTTTTTGACATTACAAGTGTCCTCGAGGAAGGAATTTTAATATTAAAATCGCCCAACAAAACTAAATAGTCACAGCTTGCAAAACTGCTAATCAATGCAGTTAATGCGGCAATAAACAAATCTACATCTACCCAATTTAGTCTATATGCTGTTCCGATAAATACATTATAACCGTTTATGTTAAGAGACAGGCAAATTTGTTCAATTGGTGCGCATGGAAACTTAGCCTTACCCCTCCCCCTCTGCCCCTGCGCATTGAGAGCGGACGCGGCATATTGCGTAAATAATAACCAGGCACTAAGGGTGCGTGCGCCTCCTTGCCCTGTCGTATCCACGATTCGTTAATTGCAATAATATCTGCATTAAATTTAGACATAGCCATAATGAAGTCATTGTGCTTAGTAGCCAATGAACCAGCATTGTAAAGACCCAATTTTAAAATTTGCCTTTTAGGGCCCATAGCTACTATTAGAAAATTAACTGTATCAGTAACTATACATTGATATAATATATGACAATTATTGAAACGAGTAAAGTGAGTGTATTTGTTTTATCAGCATACGATATTCTCATGAGTGCTACCTTCATTACAAAAACGAAAAGAAAGGTCATTACAGAGGGTATAAATATAATAACAAGAAAACATAGATATATAGATGTGACAACCGTTTTTATTAGTAGTTTCATGTAACAAAAAATATCAATAATAATAAGCCCTTGATATAATTTTGTCTAATGGTTTGATTGATTACAACGAATAGACCGATCGTTTTAAGAATTCTTTCATCTACGGGAAACTACAACATATGCGGTAGACATGGCTATATTTTATCTCGAAAGACAGCAATAAAGGGATGAAATTGGTAGTGAAAATATGTATAGGGAATTAAAACGTTACCATAGTAACCATTGTTTACTATTCAATTTGTCATTGTAATTATATCCATGTCATTATACGGATCGAAATCCATAAATACAGTTGCCTAGAGACCACGCGGGCGAAGCCGCTCGCTGAAAGGTATTTCTGTATAAAAAATATTTTGCTATATAAAATAATATGGGTTACTTTGCTATATAAAACCGCTATGGATAAAAAAAAATTAAAGCATCTAAAGTTAAAAATTACCGCAGTGTTACTATGTCGCTCGATTGCTGCGGCGACTTGTCGCGACAAGTCCAGCGCATGAGCGTACGCTTCCAACTCGGACACCCTCCGTTTCTCAATAGTCAGCTCGGTTTCCAGTTCACCTAGAAAATTATATTTTTAGTTGGCAATCGGAACAAATATCTAAAAATAAATTAAAAAAAAGAAACTCCCGCGAAAGACCACCGCCCCATAAAACCTAATATCGTTCTGTATATGCATAAGGTTTGATTCTCTAAGTTCTGATATGAGTAATAGGGCGAACGTCACGCGTTGTTTGCGGTCACGTGACAACGAGTATAAAATATTTGCTTTTTCATAAATAATTTAAGCAATATTAAAAATATAATAAGCATAAAAGTGTGATTATCGGTATTAGACAGGCCCATGTTGAAAAAGTTATGGGTCATTTGAACCACCAGGTGACCTGTCTAGAACGATATAAGAGCATAAAAAAATAAGATTCAGTACTATGCCGTCACTTGTAAGCTGTCCAACTGAGTGCAGGTGAGAATTCGAAAGTTCAGGTAGAGTGAGTACATTTTGGTCACATATTTTTGTACGGCATTTTTACCACCGATAGATCCATTAAAAATAATAAGAAAACGCGCAGTGCCGTAAAAAAATGGTGCGCCACAAAGCCGGATTTTTTTTTTATTTTCCGACAATTACCGGGGTAAATTTGGTCATTTGATTTTGTACGGCATCTGTGTCATACTATTTCAATACTGCTTCTTATCCATTATTCCGCAACGCCGTACAAAAATCATGCGACAAGGGGAAAAAATCGAGGGCTGCAACCCCCTCTCTTTCCGTAGTCCAAGGGGTGATTTGACACAACATGAAATAAATTTATTTTGAAAGTATTTTATGTATAGATAATATTTTTTCATGTGCCGTACATTTTCGTTGGTTCAAAGGGGAAAAAACTGAAAAAGAAAAAATCCATATAACGAAATGTAAGGTGAATTTAATTTATATTGTGAAAATTTTTTTATACGGCATTTAGATAGATTATTTGTACTAATTTAAATGTGCATTCTAAACTACTGTGCGATGTTTAGCATTTGTAGGGAATATCGTATTTTATTCGGATGTACTCGGCTTGGACCCGAGTAAGGTGTTTGCGTACACTCACACATAGTTCGATTCACAGAACGCAGAAAGACGTTAGAAGGGCCTTGTGGGCGTGGCAGTGCAGCCACGATCCTAGACAAATGTACAGGATCGTGACTTCACCACGCGATCGCGATGTTTAGTCATTCACGTACGCGCGCGCTGTAAGTACTGTGAAACACGCCACTAAAAGTGTTAAAAGTGCCGACTTTCGCAGTTATTAATTGCAAAACAAGAAGCCCATCCTCAAGTAGGTCCAAAGGAAGGATTTCTTTCCATTATTAAGTAGAACACTTCTCAAATTTAGTATTTTTAGTCGAAAATCGTGAAATGTTATCAAAAGTGTGAATCACAAATAATATTTCCAAGAAAATATATCGTACATTGCTGGAGAAGTGCGCATATTTATTACATTGCGTCGTACTAAGCACGTAATGTAATGAATATCGCGAAATTACCGTTTTAAATAGCAACATAGCTGATTACGGTAGATGGGTAGTGAAGTGCCTGGAAACATAATTACAATGAAACAAATCAATTATATGTATGTATCAATAATGTTTGAAGTATATATTAAACCAAAAAGTATATAAAACTGTTGATACTGGGATTGACAGTTTCAATTCTTGGACATAATATACACCGTTTCAGTTCAGTTAGACGTCATAGTGATTTTATCATATTAACAATTGTTCTCTTCAAAAATATGTTAATGCCGCACTGTATCAGATGGCCATAAAGTACCCTTAAAATTCTAGCGTCACTTTCATTAGCCTCAAAGATATGGTCTGCATAAAAATGTACGGCATCATTTTTTCCTAATTTATCTATGTTAATATTATTTAAAACAAGGGATAAAATGTAGAAAACTGCTATATTTCATTAATCTATGATATTTAAACTTTTACAAAATTTAAGTTTTTGCATTTCTCTATAATTTTTTTTAGAACGGTTTCTTTTGAACGGCAATACTATATAATAATTGTATTTTACAATATCATGTTAAAAAAAAAGTTCCCGTACAGGATCAAATGACTTTACAGCTCTATAAATCAAGGATACGATGAAATTAAGATGATTAGTGGTATACATTCAAAGGAACAATCATTTTTTGACGGCATTACTTTTAATAGTACTTTTGAGTGCTAGATAATGTTTTGGAACCGAAGCCGTACTTTTTCAAATCACCCCCTGGACTACGGAAAGAGAGGGGGTTGCAACCCTCGATTTTTTCCCCTTGTCGCATGATTTTTGTACGGCGTTGCGGAATAATGGATAAGAAGCAGTATTGAAATAGTATGACACAGATGCCGTACAAAATCAAATGACCAAATTTACCCCGGTAATTGTCGGAAAATAAAAAAAAAATCCGACTTTGTGGCGCACCATTTTTTTACGGCACTGCGCGTTTTCTTATTATTTTTAATGGATCTATCGGTGGTAAAAATGCCGTACAAAAATATGTGACCAAAATGTACTCACTCTACCTGAACTTTCGAATTCTCACCTGCACTCAGTTGGACAGCTTACAAGTGACGGCATAGTACTGAATCTTATTTTTTTATGCTCTTATATCGTTCTAGACAGGTCACCTGGTGGTTCAAATGACCCATAACTTTTTCAACATGGGCCTGTAGTCGAAAAGAAAATGCATTTATTTTCGTTTACTGTCTTCTTTTTATTTGGGACATATATAGAAGTCTGGTGTTATAATGAGGTGCTCAGAGGTTGAAGCCAAAAGATAAAATATGGCGGCCACGAACATCAAACAGGAAATCAGCTAGACCAAAGGCGGGATGGTCCTATGATATTGTTCTAACAGCCGGCAAAACATGGATGCATGAAATGTGCAACTGTGCAATATCCAGCCCCCTACCCATCTGATTGGGAGTATCCACACTAGCAGAGCCCTTATCGTGGATCACCCCCATCCCTCCAACGAAGGTCGATGCGCCACAGAAGACCAGCCTCTTCACGCCCTGTATCAGCTCCAAGTAGCAAACAGTTTTGAGTCCAGCCAGTCGACGAGTCGCACCCCCTCACGTCGCGGCTACGGCGCTACAGAGGTTCCAGCTCCGCACCAGCCATCAGGTAAGTACATCAGGTAAGTACCCAGGTAAGTACCCACTAAACCACCCTCGACAACTACGGCGTGTAGGTGTGTGTGTAAAGTGTAAGAATATGTATGTTAGCGTATGTGTAACTGTGTAATTGCGAATGAATGTGTAAGTGTAGTGTATGTTTGTCTAACTGTGTGTAATGTGTAATATAAGTGTATGAATCAGGACAAGGCCGCAGCCGCAGAGCTAAAGGAACTCCCCTCCCCGTTTCAGGGCACCTTTTGGGTTTTTCTCATCGCAAATATGCAGGAGCGATAAATCGATCCAGCTAGATGTCATTTGCAAAAAAAAAATATCGAGAATAGCTCTGCAATCCAGGCATCTTTAATCCTGTTTCCTTTTCAAAAATCAACTCCTTAATTCCTACCAATCAGGTTTCCGCGCTGGTCATAGTACTACTACTGCACTGGTGAATGTAACTGAAGATATAAGATCAGGAATGGAGCATGGTAAAGTTACGGTTCTCTCTCTACTTGATTTCAGTAACGCATTTAACACCGTTGACTTTGACATTTTGCTTGGCATATTGCGCTCTATTAACATATCTCCGGCAGTTATTGACTGGTTTCGTAGTAACCTGTCTGGGCGCCGACAGCAAATACGCATTGAGGATTCCTTTTCTACTTGGTGTGATATTTCCGCTGGTGTACCGCAGGGTGGCGTTTTATCTCCATTACTTTTCGCTATATTTATCAACTCCATCTCACGCCAGTTAGTTTCATCTTACCACCTTTATGCAGATGATTTACAAGTTTATTCCCAAGCTTGTCCTGATCAACTGTCTCTAGCGATTAATGCGCTGAACCGTGACTTAGGAAGCAATTTGTGACTGGAGCAAGTCCTATGGCATAAAAGTAAATGCACTGAAAACCCAAGTCATTATTGTTGGCAGTCCCGCAATGACAAGTAAAATCAACCGCTCATGTTTACCTGCAATTTTGTTCGATGGTGTTGCTTTAATCCCTAGTGATAACGTACGAAATCTGGGATAGTTATAGATAAAAACTTGACATGGGGACCACAGATCGAGCAGACGAGTCGGAAAATGTTTGCTGCGGCTGGTTCCTTGAAGAGGCTACGTAACTTCTTGCCTGTGGCCACTAAAATTGCGCTCGCACAATCCCTTCTTCTTCCAATACTGGATTACTCCGATGTCAGCTATCTAGACTTAACTGAGGAGCAACTGAATAAACTTGAGAGACTTCAAAATTTTTGTATTAGATTCATATTTGGGTTACGCAAGTATGATCATGTATCTGATTTTCGCACTAAGCTCAAGTGGTTGCCAATTCGACTTCGTCGGAATGCACATATTGTTTCCCTGCTTTACAGTGTACTGTTCAATCCTCTCTCACCAACTTATCTTAAGGAACGCTTCAAGTTCCTTAGTGATACGCACTGTCGAGTTTTGAGATCATCGGAGAACCTAAAACTGCAGGTGCCTGTGCACTCCACAAAATTCCTTGATAAGTCATTTGCAGTTCAGGCTGTTCGCTTGTGGAATGCCTTACCTGAAGAAATAATGCGCGCTCCTTCATTAAAGTGTTTTAAAAATATGTTAAAGGAATACTATCTATCACTTTAGGAAGAAATGCTATCGTATCATCCTGTTATATTTATCTTGGTACTGTTTCATTTTAAATGTTTTTATGTATATTGTATTATATTATATTATATATGTTTATTATATTATATTATATTTATATGTAGAGGTATGTATATGTTATTTGTATGTATATATGTAGGTATATTTCTCTCGCAATGTAAGACACCATCTACTACCCGTCTATTTAGTAACAGTCCAGTCTAACCTACGGTTGCCTGGCAGAAATTGCTCTTTAGCGATAAGGCCGCCGATTGTACAACTAAACTGTATAAATTGTATTTTCTCTATAATTTATGGTGTAACTTTTTTATGCCTAAAAACCTGTCCCTTTGAACTAACGTTGAATTTTACGGTAAAACACTACAAAAGTGTAAAATAAGTATGCTAATTTCAAAATATTACATTATTGTTTAATACAGAACACAAGATTTGACCAGTAAAAATACATCATTATAACAAAAAATATAGTAACAATGTTGTCATTCTTAGTAACGCATTTGTTCTTCATACAAAATACAGTTGTCCTTGAGCACATGTCTCAAGCTTCTCTGGATTTTTTTCCACAATATTTCCTAGGTGGCGATTCATAATGAATTCCGCTTTAAAAATTTAAGCCCTAAACCTTATTTATAATGCCAATAAATATTTTTTACATCAAAAAATTATTGGAGTAAAAAATTATTTTGACTGTGTCCCTAACAAATACTAAAATCGTAACTACCTTGCGTTGCTATATGAAAATAAACCTTTAAGTGAGTGTATTACCCTTTTTTGCACCTTATTCGGCTTTACATATTGTAACTCGTATAACGAACGATGGCAACCGCGGGGGAAGAGGACGCTCGTCAGATCAGTCGCGTCGGAGTCGTCGGGAGAGGTGCGTGTATTTATTGCGTGGCCGCTGAGTTACCACTGTCGAAAGGTACGTATTGACAATATTTACATAATATTTGTTTTATATGTAGTTTGTCATGTATTGGATCTGTCAGTGTTAGAATATTTGCACTTTGTTATTTCATTTAGTGATTATATACAACATAGTCAAATATTTACAACTGCGATACTGCTACACTGCGTTACTTGAAAATGTAACGCAGTTGTTGCATTGGTAACGCAGTTGTGAATATTTGACTATGTTGTAAATAATCACTAAATGAAATACCAAAGTGCAGATATTCTAACACTGACAGTACAAAGACATGACTAACTACATATAAAAATAAATAATATATTTGTCAATGTTGGTGATACGTTATTTAAGCCTTAATTTTCATATATTGTTTCTTTTTTTATCTTAGAGAAAAGATTCTGCGCTAAATGGCGTTAACAAACGCAGAAAAACAACGTCGCTATAGGCTTAAATTAAAACTAGACCCGGTGAGAAATGCTGAAGCTAAGAAAAACACCAAGAAAGGTACCATGCAAATAAAAAACTTGTCAAAGATATGACAGAGCGAGAACATAGGAGTGCTAAGCGTAAATGGAAAACTGCAAATAAGAAACGTCGAGAACGACAAAAAACTGCTCAACAAATTATGGACATTACACCGACGTCGAGCCCGCGGTCAGGAACTCCAGTTTTACCGAGGTCTAGAGGCCGAAAACAAATACGAAGAGATAGATCTGCAGTGTACAGAAATAATTTGAAATTGCAGGAAGAAATAGAAAAGTTGAAAAGAATGTGTAGTAAATATAAAAAGAGATACCAAAGAGCTAAAACGTCAATCAAACACACGGAACAAGTAAATAAGCTTAACCAAAATAAGTATTCAACATTATCCAATGCCATCAAAGACCATTACAGAAGTTTGAAGTCAATCAAAGAGAAACAATCATTAAAACAAATTTTCAAGGAGAAGGCTTATCTAACTCTAAAATAAAAATTGCTATTGTACGCGAGACGTTGGGAATTGATCTGATGAAAGTGATGAAACGACAGCAGAATACCTCAAAGAAAAATCTGGTTAACAGCATTAAAAGCTTTTTTGTTCGTGACGATGTTTCTAGAGCTACGGCTGGAAAACGGGAAACTGTCACTTGTAATAAAATTAAAATACAGAAGCGATATTTACTAGATCACAATGAAAAACCTATTTCATTCTTTTAAAAAAGAAAATCCAGAATTGAGATGTTCTTATTCGTATTTCATTAAAAACAGGCCATTTTATATAAAGCCACCTTCAGTTTCTGGAAGAGAGATTTGCCTATGCAAGATACATACTAATGCGCAGTATATTTTAGATGCTCTCTACAAAACCAGGGTTATCGCTCACCAAAACACTGAAGGAGTTAAGCAAGGTCCGTTTGTATTTAGTGACGGACAGTGACATACAAAACATTGAAAAAGCTCTACCTAAAAACCTTGTACCACTTCAAGGTACGATGCTAGTACATCAAGTTTTTACTGACACTCCCGGTGAACTTCAATATAGAGATCTCAGTTGCTTTTGCCAAAGAGGTTTTTGCTCATGCATGAGCCCAAAAACTTATCACCCTGTTCCTGCTCCCGTTATTGACACA